TTAGGTGGACAGACAGTCAATTGTATGGAAAATAGAATTGGCAAATTGAATTCAGGTTCTGACTGAAACAGTTTTTATTTATTTTGCATTAATGCCTTCGAGAAAGCCATGAATTTATCTATTCTCCCATCTTCCTATTTCTAAAATATCCTGGTAAACTGGGCTCTCTAGCTTTGGTTGGCAAACAGTCAACTTAAAACCATATAGAAGGCAACTGGAAACCACTTTTCTGACAAGTCCTGTCAATGTACAGTTCAAAGATATTGGAAAAAAAACAAAAGAACTATGATCACCTGTAACATAAACAGGCATAGCACTTGAGGAGGAGGAATATAAAATTGTTTGTGTCAGTATTAAAAATTTAGCTTACAATCAAGATATTGTTCATAAAATTTTACATGTAGATATTTTGAATTTTTTTTATCATTTGTATATTTAGAAAGATTTAAAAACAAGAGCTGCTGTACTCAGGTTGTGATATCTTAATATTAAAAAAAATCTAGACATTCTAAAAAAATATTCTGTCCCTGCCTGATATACACTTTAGTACAATATAACAATGAAGTTGCTGTAATAATTTTACATATTTGAATAACAATAATATATTTATAATATAACCATGATTTCAAGACTTAAATGTAGGATGTGTCAGAAGATTGAGATATTATGGCAATTCGACACTACATTTATTAAATCAAGTGTATGTGTATTAATGATTATTAAGCCTTCCAGTATTCACAAACTTTGTTTGTTTTTTGGGGCTTTTTTTTTTTTTACTTTTTTTACTCTAACTAATTCTAACATTGGTGGAAAGAAAATCTCTTGCTTAAAAAAGAGTACTTGTGAAAGAAAACTCCAAGTAAGTTAGCTTATAACCATTAATGAAGTAGGATCTACTGCATATAGAGTCTTTCTATTTATAGACCTAAAGATCATTTTTTTCAATGCATAGATAATGATTATGTAAACTTAGGAACCCTAATGCTTTTATAGCTTTTGGAGAGCATATTTTCTTGAGTGCACAGGCCAGTAGACATAAAAAAAGAAAAAGAAAACAAGGGTGTCTATTTCAAACACAGATGTCCACTAAAAATAATGTCTAAAGTAATAATAATGTCGGATTAAAAAAAAATCTTCTTTAGAAATTGCTTTGTTTTGGGTACAAAATGAAGCAGGTTTGGGCTTTTGAGAAAACCTGAATGAGAGGATATGCATTCCTTAAAAGAGTAAATATAACCTTGCTGGGCACTGTAGCTGAGTAGTCTAAAGCACAACAGATCAGATAGTAGTTTATCTTACAAAAAGGAGGCACCAATTCAAACCCTGTTGGAGAACACATTTTCTTTAAGTTTTCTCCAGTGTGCAAGCTGGTAGACACACTGTTTAAAAAAGACAAAAAACAAAATAGCAGGGTATCTACTTAAAACATAGGCATCCACTAAAAATAACATTTGATGTAATAAAAATACCTAATGCATACAAATATATTAAAACAGGGAGGAAGAACAAGAGAAAAAAAATCAGTCAAGTTCGAATTACAATCTGGTTTGTTACAGTCGCTTATGCACAAACATGAAGTGGAGCAACTATATTGAATCAGTTGCTATGTCTACTCCAAGGAAAGTTAGTTGTGCCAGAAAATTTTTCTCATCAGAATCTATCTTGCACATTTATCAATCTACCATTCATCTATTCATTGAATACTATTATCATTTATAGTCTGATGCTCCTGCTGCAGATCTTGAGATTCTTAAAAAAAAATCCAGAGAATGGTCTGTAATGTAATAGATCCTGACCAGGCATCTCAACTTCAGTCACTTTCTCACTTACATAACAGGGCTTCCTTCTGACTTTTCTATAAATATATTCATGGTAACTACTCAAATAAGCTTTTTTTTCCCTGGTGCTCCATGTATATAAATTTAAGCATGCTACCAGATAGGCAACTAGGTCCCATCATTTTACTATTTGAACTAGCTAGATGCAACTGCCATTTCTACACTAACAGTTTCTTTTCTTGCACTTCTCACCTGTGAAACTCCCTTCTGATTTCTTGCTTCCCTGATAACTACAATTTTCAAAAATGTAAATGCAATATCTTATTACCTTCTCTGTCTTCTTGAACCCTGTTCCTTTTTTACTCCTTTCCTCAATCCTTGCCATTCTTAGTCTTCTCATTCTCTTTCACTTTCACTCCCTGTAACCCTCCCTACATTCTAGTAGCATTATTGCCTTACTTGGGGTGAAACAATTAAAAAAAATACCCTTGGGAAATGTATGACTCCATCTAACAGTAGGACTTGTATCTGGAAAAAAATCATTATCAAAAAATCATTAATGCAATATTCACTCATAAAAAAAAAAAATTTTTTAAAACCCACAAAGGGTTGATAAACTGTTAAAAACCCATCAGTTAATCAAATAATCAAGAAGCCATAGGAAACTAACAAAGTTTTTCATGTCTAACTTCTATTGCATTCCTCCTTTGTAATGAGAAATTCTTTAACACATTTAATATCAAAGTGTGTTAATTAACATTTTTGCTACCTTATCTGGTAAGTGCCAAATTACATTAATTTTATAACATTCTTTTTGAAATTCACACCTTCATTTTGTCCTGCTGTGACTAATACCTGTTTTCCAGCAATGCCATTTACTCTCTAAGGAATCACCATTGTTCTGTTCATACCAGGAGAAAAAAAAATCTTTGGCACTGAAGGTGTGAATATTTCATTACTCACTTCTGTTTGACTTTTTTGTCTTTAATGTTCAAAAATATTCTTTCTATAAAATATATTGTTTACAGTATTGTAAGTTATACTTTCTAACCATTTGGAACTGGGATATTTAATTGTTCATTATTTTGCCTTGATATGGAATTTTTGAAAATTTTAGTGGTAACTGTTATACCCCCACCCACCATGAGATTCCTATATATTATCAATATCATACCTCTCCTATAAGGTTCATACATACTATCAATGTCATTTTTCCCCATGAGGTTCCTATATACTGTTATTTTAACCCCCCCCCCCCCACTGAAGTTCCTCTATACTACCAATGTCATTTCTCTCCATTATTAAAGTCATTTCTGTCCCATAAGGTTCCTATATATTATCAATGTTGTTTCCACCAGCATGAAGTTTCTATATAATATAAATGTCATTTCCACACCAATGAGATTCCTATATACTATCAGTGTCATTCCCACCTCACGAGGTTCCTAATGTCATTTCCACCCACCATGAGATTCGTATATATTATCAATGTCATTTGGGCACCTCAAGGCAGAGTAATGGTTAGCAAGCTTGTCTTGCTAGAACAATTACAACTGAGTAGTGAGTTTGATCCTCACTGGGTGCCCCATACTTTCAGCCTTGTGCCGCTTCTAAAGCTACGCTTAGAAAATCAATATTATCAATGTCATTCTAGATTTTTTTTTTTTTTTTTTTAGAAACCTTTAGTTAATACTGGATTTTGTGGTTGTTATTAATGGGTTAGGGTTAACTTACAAAAAATTGTGAAATTTCTCAGAAATATATGCACAAGAATTTACCTTGAACACTATTTTTAATATTGTTTATGAGGTGCTGTCAAAATTACATTTAATCAGCTAAATAAATATTACCCGCTTGCAAAAAATATGTAGAACACAAGTTCCTTATCAGGTAGGATAATTAAATTTCACTATTTTCAGGACAGCATACATTGTTAGAGAAGTTGTCAGTGTGTGACATCAACAAAATATCTCCACAGGCACTCAACAATTGGTTTCAAGTTAGACATTAAGAAAATAAATCTTAATATGGTTCAACAATGTATTATATCACTAGTTATAATAAAATAGTAAAAGAAGTTAAGAAAAAAGACTGAATCATTAATTTTATGAAGACAATGTATGGCTGTCAGCAAAAAAACAGCCCTTATATAGGAGCTTTGCATTGGTGATGTCAAAATCAAACCAGTACAGAAATTTAACTATCTAAGTAGTATAGTAACAGACAACAGAATGTATGATATATCTGAAAGATGCCTTTCAGAAAATAACCAAAGTATTAAGTGATGAGAAAATGTCATTAGAGATAAAAGTGTGCTGAACTGTTATATCTAATTTCCTACATCACAGTGAATATGGGACAATCTCCTTACTGATAAAGAAGTGATTTCAAGTAATAGAGATGTAAACCTTCTGGCAAATAATGAAAATAGCATGCACAGAACATGAGTAACAAAGAAGTTTTAAGGAGAATATAAGAAGGCTTTGAGAATTTAACACCCATAAGACTTATTGAAAGCAAGAGAAACAAGGAGAAACAGCTCATAACCTACTTAATGAATTTAAATCAATGGATGGTAAAACAAGGATAAAGAGGAAAAATAACAACAACAGTTAAACACTGCAACAGAAGATAGAAAGTTGGGGAGAGCTATGATCACCTACATCCTGAAAGAATATGGGTAAATAAAAAATTATTTTTTTTACATTATTTATATTCAGACTATTGTTTCATCTTTGTTGTTATCTTAATATTTTGGCTGTTGATCTACAAGGAATTCTGAACTGAACCCTTTATCAGATAAAAATTCCCTGTAGACCGATATACACTTGAGGAAGACTGGAAGGCACAGCAGCTGAAACATTGGGATAGCAACAACAAAGTCTGAATATAAATAATGTAAATAATGATAACACCTCATCCCAGAAATTTAAACAGAAAAAATCATTTGTTATATGCCTCCAATTGATGTAAAAAAAAAAATGATAATATCCAACAGAATATGTGTATTTTACAATTGTGAATTCTTGTAATGGTTCTGATTAAATTATGCATTTAATACCAAGAGTGATATAAACTAACTTGTTATCATTTCTGTGGTTTATTGATCTCTTGGTCTGTTCTTCACCTTGTATAGAACTTCATTTTGCTTTCTGACCTTTGTTTTGTTTCTGTATCCATTGTTTTTCACTTATATTTACATTTTCTTTTCTTACTTTCCAGAAGTGAATTGGAAAAAGAAGATAAAAAAGGTGTGGAGGAAATGTTAAAAATTCGGGATGATAACATTGTCAAGTTAGAACACCTATTGATGATGACCAAAACAGAAAAAGAATCCCAAGTCGTATCAACACAGTAAGAATAATAACTTGTTTATATGAAGAATTTGATTATGATTGTTATTTTGTATTACTTGGTTTTCTATTTAATGATCATAAAACATATATAATATATATATTATATATAACATATATATGTTATATATATATATATATATATATATATATATATATATAATATATAATATACCAAGCATGAACCTGACAGTCACCATGCAATTTTGAAGTTTGCACTGTTTAAGCTGTGAACTATTACTGCTATTATAGCAGTAATAGTTCACAGCAGTCACACATAATAATAATATTTTATTTTGGTTCTCCTTTCTTAATGAAATGTTTAAAAAAAAACAATCTGAATTATATTTATTTACACTATTTACATGCAAACTATTGTTTTCATCCTTGTTGTTATCACAATGTTTTTTATGCTATATATAGTGTGTGTGTATATTTACACACACACTACATATAGTGTGTGTAAATATACATAGTTTGTCACACCCACTGATCCATGCACATAAACACTATTGTTTATTTGATGTAACATTTTTGTAAACAGCTTTATATCATCATGCATAATGGCTATTGTTCTTTGTCAAGTTCCAACCATTGTGTAATGGCAGATATTGGTGAAATAGAATAATTGTTACTATTATTCTTTCCTGAGGCATGATTCATTGAAGGCAGCTACCTGTTTATCAAACTCTGCATGTCAATGTGTCTATAATTTCTGTTTATTGTTCTTCATATTTACACAAAAAGATCAACAAGTTTTTCTCAATGGTTTTGTCCTTCCCATCTTTTCAACTTTTCATTGGATGAGGTGGTATTTGCTGAAACATTCTAATAGAAATAATCCTTTGTTATTTAGACAAGATTTAAATGTTTATTTGGCACCATGTTATTATATGTTGTGTGTAATTATATTAATGGTTATGCTCTATGGTTTGTGCATATTTAAAAGATGATTGTCATGATGTTAAGAGACTGTGAACTATTACTATGATTATCTTAAGATAATTATAGCAGTAATAGTTCACAGCAGTTATACATAATAATAATATTTTATTTTGGTTCTCCTTTCTTAATGAAATGTTTAAAAAGACAATCTGAATTATATTTATTTACACTATTTACATGCAAACTATTGTTTTCATCTTTGTTGTTATTACAATGTTTCAACCATTGTGCCTTCCAGCCTTCATCAGGTATATGTTGATCCAGGTACCCTACAGGGAATTCCAAACTGAACCCTGTATTTAATCTATGGGAGTAGACTGTTCTCATTCTATTGCCTATGTCTAGAGATATCTTATCAAGTTCTTATTTTTAGTACTGTTTAGTTATTTCTTACCCTGTTTCCACTGAGATCAAATACACACTATCTAGTCCAGGGATTGAACTCATAATTTCTCTGTCACCAAATTCATGAACCGATGCTTTAATCCACTAAGCTATTGTCCCTGTAGGAAGAAAATGGTCTACCTTTGCAGATTAAATAAAGTGTTCAGTTTGGAATACCCTGTAGGCTACACAGATCAACATACACCTGATGAAGGCTGAAACGTTATGGTAACAGCAACAACAAAGATAAGGATAAGTTCCAAGATAAATGATATTTTGTTTAGTAAGCAACAACTAAAATGGATATCACATGTAGCTTGAAGAAAGACTAATAACATAATCAATATGTTGACATTAAACATCACTTCAGATGCTGCATCGTGACCTTCAATTTCACATAGGAATCAAAACTGCATGGTGACTGTCAGGTTCACGCTTCAATGTGATCTTCATATCCACACTGTTTATATATAGATGCTCTGTCTCTACTATTGAGCACACTTCCACTAAATATAGCAAAATTTTTAACTAAAATATGAATATATTATGAAATGGATTAAGTCTGACAATTATTTAATATATTTTCTGCGAAAAGAAGCACTAAAAAAAATTCCAAAAAAAGACCAATAACATCAATCTGATGGAATACAAATCAAACAGAGCAAAAGGCACGAAAAGAGATAAAAGCAGCAAAAAAGAGAATGCTGGCAGAATTATGTCAGCAAATTGAATTGCTCAACTAAACCAAAAGGCAATTTGGGAAATGATTAAGAAAATTATGGGCAAACAAAAACAACACCAATAAAACACCTCTCAAAAGACAACTCCATAATAACAGATAAAAAGCTATAACAGAATTGCTAGCTGAAACCTTTGCCAAAAAAACTCATCCAGTCTGAATGGTACAAAAGAATTCATAACCATCAAAGAAGATGCAGAAAAATGTAAACTAAATTTTAAATCAAAAAATCTTGAAGATTATAATAGTTTATTGACACTAAGAGAATTGAAAGACTCTATAAAAAAAATCCCATAATTCTGCTGTAGGCCCGGATGAAATCCACTATGAGTTTTTTAAAAAATTACCAGAAGAATCACTAAAATTCCTTTTAAAAATATTTAACAAAATATGGACAGAAGGAAGGTTCCCAGATATATGGAGAGAGACAACAATGATACCAATTCCCAAACCAAAAAGAGATGGCTTGGACCCACAAAACTATCGACCTATCTCTTTAACCAGTTGCTTGTGTAAAACAATGGAAAGGATAATAAACAACAGGTTGATTTGGCATTTGGAATCAAACAATCTTATTTCCAACTTACAATGTGGGTTCCGTAGTAAAAGAGGCACAATAGACCATAATACGCCTTGAAACAAATATTAGAAAGCATTTATCAAAAAGGAACACCTTACAGCTATATTTTCGATCTAGAAAAGGCTTATGATACGACGTGGAAATATGGAGTAATGAGGGACTTGAGTAACCTGGGTATAAAGGGTAGATTGCCACAGTTTATTGATGGATTCTTATCTGAAAGAAAATTCAGAGTTCGTGTCGACTCTACACTTTCAGATGTGAAAAAAATCAGGAAGAGGTGTCCCACAAGGCAGTATATTGTCCGTAACACTATTTAACATAAAAATAAACACTATAATCAAGGAAATACCACCAGGAACCGATGGATCACTATATGTGGATGACCTTATGATATGTTATAAATCAAAATATATCCACACAATCGAACGAAAAACTGCAACAGGGTCTAAATAAAATCAGCAGATGGGCAACAACAAATGGATTCAAGTTCTCTAAAACAAAAAACAAAATGTGTCCATTTTTGTCACAAAAGGAAACTCCATAATGACCCTAGGCTGAAACTTGATGGTTCAGAGATCCCAGTTGTAGATGAATACAAGTTTCTGGGGGTAATATTTGACAAAAAACTAACATTTATTCCCCACCTGAAATACTTAAAACCAAATGTAACAAAACATTACAACTACTGCGCGTGGTAGCCCACACAAAATGGGGAACAGATCGAAAAACTCTGTTATTATTGTATATATCCCTAATTAGATCAAAATTGGATTACAGTATTTTTTTATATACCGTTCAGCCAGAAAATCCTATTTAAAATGCTTGACCCGATCTACCATGGAGGTTTGAGGTTAGTACTCGAGCCTTTAGAACATCTCCAGTCGAGAGCCTATATGCTGAGGCTAACGAAGCACCTGCAAATAGTAGAAGCCATAAACTGGCCCTCAGTACTATGTCAAATTAGGGTCATGCCCAGCAAATCCTGCGTACAATAGTACCTTCTATCCAAAATACAAAAGAATTATTCCAAAGGAATGAAAAAGCCATAAAACCCTTTGGACTTCGGATGGAAACAATTATAGAAGAAGCAGATGTAGATTTGACAAAAATCCATAAAACAATCATACCAGATATCCCACCTTGGACCATAAGAACCCCAAACATAAACTTAACCCTCTGTAAATACTACAAAAATAAAACCCACCCACTAATTTTCCAAGAGGAATTAGAGAAAGTTAAGGAGAGATATCCTAGGCACTCACATGTCTTCACAGATGGATCTAAAAGTAGGAAAAATAACAGGATGTGCCGCAATATATAATAGAAAAATATTTAAAAAACATCTCCCCAAATGACACCTCTATATTCAGTGCAGAAGTTTGCGCCAATTAACATGGCTCTTAACCTCATCTCAGAATCAAGGAACAACAAGTTCATTATCTTTTCTGATTCACTATCAGTATTAGAATCACTAAAAAACAGGAAGTTTGATAATCCATTGATAGTGAAAATACTATGTAAATTAGAACACCTATCAAATGATAATGATATACAGATATGTTGGGTCCCAGGTCACACTGGAATCGGTGGAAATGACCAGGCAGATAAAGCAGCCAGGTCTACTCTAAATATGACCAATTTCAAAATACCATATACAGACCTTAAAATGAAGATAAATAAATACATACTGCAACAAAGACAACAACGCTGGAACAGCAATAGTAATAATAAATTACTAAAAATTAAACCTGAATTGGGAGAATGGAAACAGAGCTATAGGAAAAATAGAAAAGAGGAAGTGATATTGTCCAGACTTCGAATAGGCCATACAAGGACAACACATTCCTACTTACTTGAAGCAAAGCAACAACCAATGTGTTATGCATGCCAGACCGCATACACAGTGAAACACATTCTCATTGAATGTACTGACCTAGCCCATATAAGAGAAACGCTTTATAGTGCAAGTAACATGAAGGAACTGTTCCAAAAAACTGACATGGATAACATAATATCGTTCCTGAAAGCAGTCAATTTGTACCAAAAAATCTAAAAACATAAAAAGTTGGGAGTTTTCTGCAAACTTTTGCTGCAAGAATATTTTTCAACAAAATCTGATTCTTTCTGCATACCATTTCTCAAAAAAGAAGAAACTTCCCTACGATACAATTCTCTACAAAAAATTTTTTTTTGACAGAACCAGATTTTTCTACAAACCATTTCATTTCTAAAAACCTTTTTCAGCATGGCAAACCTCTCCGTTTGTGGAAATGGAAGGGTCTATTATATTGGAAAATAATATTCCAATAATAACCTGATTTGACATTAAATGACTGAGGAGGTCGATATGTCGTAAAACACAAACAAACAAACAAACAAACAAAAATATATTTTCTGTTTATACATTATTTTTATAGTTACAAATATTTAAGTAAATGCTCTGTTTATAATAATCAGTATTAACAACATTTACCATTATGAATGTCTGAGAAATTATGTGTCCTCAGGAATCAAACCTGTATCCTACACAGAACCATCATTTGGCCTGACGTGCTATACCATTTTGCCATAAAGGAAGCGTCCGATTAGCAAAGTCAAATTACTGTTTTTAAACAACAAATTTTCCATGATTTTTCTTAAATGATCATATCTGCTCAAACTGTTTTGATGAGCTATCTTCCCTGATGCCCCGACTACATGAATTTAAGTGTGCTACTTGTTTGGCATCTAGTTCCCACCCTTTTACTGTTGGAATAGATAAATGCAACCACCACTTCTACTCCAGCAGCTTCTTTTCTTGCACTTCCTGACAGTGGAACTCCCTTCCTCTTACTTGCTTCTCTGATAACTACAATTTTCAAAAATTTAAATTCAGTGTCAATTGCCATCTTCTGTTGCCGTGATCCCCGTTCTTCTTTTATCCTTTCCTCAATCCCCACTATAAACAGTCTTTCCACTCACTTTCACTCTCTGTAAACCCCTGTATGCTAGTGGCTCTCCTACCTTGTTTGGAGTGAAATGCTTAAAAAAATTAATTCTTCCTGCAGGCTCTTTGTGGAACATAGAGCCAGAACCATACTAAAGGATGCTTTCATAGTTTCAATAGCAAAAGAGGTTTTATGGGGTTAGGGTGCAACTCCAACCCCCAAGAGGCTAAATGGATGAAATTGCTCTACCATCTACCCTGTGGGAGAAGAGCCCTTTCCTAAGGGCATTAATGTGAATGTAAACTGTCTCAGCCAGAGTTTGAACTTTGATTCTATTTGATATACCATTAGCCACTAGGTCACTTGTGCTGCATTTTAATTAATAATCACAGTGAGATATTCAATATAAAATCACCTCTCATTAGATACTGGGTTTGTTGACAAATTATCAAAAACAGCCAATATCCATGCTTTATTGAATTATCTAATAAAATTCTTCAATACATGATTTGCATCAAAGTTCCTATCATATTGCAAGCAAGTTATTTTTTTCTTTCCTAATTATTGTTATTTAATATCCCTATCAGTAATATTGATTTTTTTATAATGTTATGGTAGTTACAGAACTGATTGCTTAAAATTGCTTGTTAAATATCACCCAAATTTACCATTTAATCAAGTAATGATTGTTTGTTTCCTTCAAGCAAATGAATAAATTTTGCATATTTTTGTAAAATTAATTTCACATTAGAAAACAAATATATGTTATAAATCTCTAATTTTACTGGATTAATTGTAATTGCTAAATTTTCTTTTTCTTCTCAGAAAAATCAAGAATGAGAATGAGGCACTGCAGCAACAAGTGAAGAAGTTACAAGATGAAATCAAAGAGAAGGAAATTTGTATCACCCAACAAACAAAACAGACAGAAGAACTTATGAAAGAAAGTCACAAAGGATCTCATAGCCAGTGGTATGAGGATGATGGAACTACTACAACTAAAGTCATTAGTGACAACTTCAAAAAGTTGGAAATCTTAAATGTGAGTTCTTGCTTTAATTGGATTTACTCTTGCAAATGTCTGCTTAAATACTTAAAAGCACATCAGTTATAACCAGAAACATCCCAAATCTATCCTACTTGATTTAGTGTCACAAGAAGGCAGGTACAGGGAGGCATCCTCCTATTGCTAAGCCTATTATTAAATATACTACTGATGAAAAGTTATTTTTGCTATATTCTGTCAAGTTGTATTTTTGTGTGTTGCATTTTGTAGGATTTGAAATTGTTAGTCATCAGAACTGTTTTACCCTTCTCCCTGCTTTTTTTTTCTCCTTTACTAATGTTCACCTATCACAAGGCATGAGGGTTACTGAATGAGGTGTGTAGTATGGATATAAAAGGAGGAAGTAAGTGGAGGAGGATAGATAATGATCCTGGACTTGAAGAGATTAAGATTGTAGTGGTTCTTATATTATTAATGGTTGGTAGAAGTAAGACTTTTATTTGAACACAAAACAAAGTAGTTATTCTACCATTCAACAGAGCAATCTATCAAGAATATATTATATCTGTTTATATATCAAGAATATATTATATCTGTTTATATCATTTGAATATATATATATATATATATATTCACACGAAGCAAAGTGATAATGCCACTAAAATGCAAGGGGCTACTGGGAGTGAAACAAAAGAGAACAAAAAGAGTTTAGCAGGAATTGGAAACCTAATCCTAAACAGGAAACAAGAGAAACCTCTTCTGTTTAAAAAAACAAGGAGGGGTGCAACCAGACAATAGGCAAACCTGTTTACTCCTATTGAGGAAAAATAAATAGCAAATATAATTTCACAGTTTATGTGGAGGTGTTAGAGTATAGAGTTTAAGTAGAATTTAAAAAGAACCAGAAACCCACCCCTAAATAGGAAACAAGAGATAAACCTCTACTCCTGTTCAAAAGACCAGGGTGGAGTGTGAAACAGGTGATGTAAATGAATAACTTCTACTAAGAGAAGAGAATCTTTATCACTCTGTGGAGTATAGGGTTACAGACTCACCATGCTAGTAGTGCAGTTGTGTTTTCTATACAAAGTAGGCTTTTTACAGGGTGGAGTACCTAACCAGTTTTGAATTAAGAGTAATCCTTCTAGGTTAGCTGCCAATCAAGGATAGAGAGATCAGTGTGTTCTATTATTTAAGAGAGAATGTATTATGTAGAGAAGAAATAGTTTCAAACCTTTCTCAATGACATTTATGCAAAAGTGAATGCAATAATTTGGTTGGAATTTAAATTCTCCATGTCAGTCTCCCTCTCCATGACAATCATCACTATGCTACACACACATCTTTAATAAATACTGACTGAACAATTAAAAAGCTTTTGACTATATAACAAAAATTAAGACTTATCTCTAGAATTAGCTCTTGGCTACCTCTTTTTGCTCTAAGTAGTTGTGTAACTGGTTTCGGAACAGCACCAGCAAGATAGGTAAATATATTTTAAATTCATTTTTATTGATCTTTAGCCTTTGATATAATTTAGTCTGTCACAAATTTACAATTTGATAGTGAATGTTTAGTGCATATTGTTTTTTTTTAAAGATTAAATGTTAAGAAGAGATCTGAATGCTAAAAGACAGTTTTATACATAAGATTTTTGACTGTACATTGATCAACATAAATGGATACCATCTGTAGGAATGATTGAATGATTCTTAAAATTATTTAATTCTTAATTTAAAATGACTACTTTAAATGATAAAAATCTAAAACTTGTTAACCTTTTTGGACATTCCTTTATTTTACATAAGAACATGGATTTGAATCCACTCCAGCTAAAAATTATAAAATATTTTGTAATAGTTGATGCAGAACTTCCAGCTCAATAAAAGCTTTGAAAACAAACCAAAGCAAATTGCATTAAGAAGAATTTGAAATAATATAAAACTGAATAGTAGTTTATTGAATTATATTGTATTGTAAAGGAGTCACCAAAACTTTGTACAATAGAATTTTTTGATTTAGACTCAAGTTATTTTGAGTGTTCTCTTCAGAAAAGAAATGATGGCAAATATACTGATCAGACAAACTTATTCACAGCAACACATGTAATACAAACAATTCCATATTTTATATTCAGGGTTGTTCTTTGTTGCACTGTGAGTATTGCTCATTTTATAGCTGTCTAACATTTTTCTACATGTTTTTAAAATTTTTAATGACATCTTAAAAAATATGAGATAGGATTTAAAGTTACACATTAGTCTTGAATTCTAGCAATGATTTAATTTACCATTCATATATATATATATATATATATATATATATATATATATATATATATGCTTCACAAAGTAATATATCTATATATCTTTTAAAACCCCTGCCTGTGTGTTCATTTTTATACGAGAGAAAATTCTTTAATTGAATGACATTTGAAAACAGTATGAAAAATGTTGTTGCATTTTAAGGCATAGAAAGTGATTTTGCTACAAAACAGGTACAAATTTTATAATTGATTATAATTGTTAAAGTTTTTCTTTCAAAAGAATCAACCTGGTATGTTACATCATAAAGTATTTGGCTTATTTAAGAAAAGAACAGAAATGGAATATTGCATGTGGTTATTATGTTTTTTTTTAATTTTTTTAATTTCAGGACATGGTTCATGCCTATGAGATGCAAAATAAATTTTTAAGTATTGAAATTCTTGAATTAAATGAGCTTCGACAACAAAGTGAGAAGCGAGAGAAGTTGCTCAGTATGTAAGTACACAAGCTATATTTTATACTTTTTTTTTAAATCTATTCAGATTCTGTTTATCTTGTTTTTTCATCTGATAAACATCTGAAACTTATTCTTCATTTTTACTTTATTTTATGAGAAAACTCAACTTAATATAATTTCTTTTATACCCTACAATGTTAAATAAGTAATTAATCTCACAAAATCTTCAAATGAATGTTGCAGTAAACACAATACATACATGCATAATAAATTGTAGAAGAGTTTTAAAAATGTAATAACTATTTTGAACTGGCTTTTCAGATAGTCATTATACTTGATTCAAAGCATTTACATTTTTGATATTTCTACAAAATCAAAACTAAATCATTTATCTTAAATCTTATATTGTAAAGTTAAATAATCTTTTACCTAAACAGAATAATAGTAATTAATGATACATTTTAGTAAACAATAACTGTATGGCTTTATCATTCGTTTATCTGTCCATAACAACAGAATTGCCAGGTCCAGTAATGAGTTAGTAGTGAGACAATACATTGTTGTAGTAATATGAGATATGCTAGGTGCATCTTTAAATGACCAACAACCTTTTTACCATGTAGTAGTAGGCAAAATTTAATAAATAAAATGAAAAATATTTTTTAAATCCCCTGAAATGTATCACCTACTTATCATCTCCTTACCACCTCATTAATATTAACGTCAACAATCTTAAGGACAGGTCAATCAGATAACTTCATTTCTGAAATCAAATATTTGTATAAGCAAAACAAAAGATCAAAGACCCTGTAACAAAGCAAAGGACAATCCTGCAAACACCCTTGCACTCCCTGACCACATACCATCCTTAATGTAAACCCAAGAAAAGTGGATTTTTAGGCCAATTTTCTCTTACCTTTTACTAGAAAGTGAAACAAGCTGGTTCACTTGACTAACCACTGAAGAATTAATCAGGACAACTGCCTGTTACAAAGAAGGAGTAATCTCACTCTCTCTCTCTCTTTCTCTCTCTCTTTTCTAATGTACTGCAAGCTATGAACTCTGTGAAACAAGAAGGATTCAATTTATATTCTTAAAAAAATTAAACCTCCCAATGCAATGTTTGCTCAGTGTTCATTCATTTTGAATGTAAAAACAACATTCTGTGCCAAACCATAACCATGAATTTTAAAAAGTACAAAAGTTATAAAATTATATATTCTCCTGTTATAATGCAATGAGATGTGCTCATTATCACTCAAAGTGAGCAAGAGTCAGAAAACCAGCAGTAATAATTGATCTGCTAAATAGTTCCAAAGGTGATTGCAGTTTACCTAAAAGAATAGGATACAGGATGACGAAAACCAGCTTTGTATAAAACTAGTACCTTTTTCAGTCTTTAAAATTAATCATGAAAAATTACTATTTCCTTTATTATAAGTTTACAAAATTATCTTGTTATAAAATAAAAGCATTCAAAATAGTAATATATTTAAAATAAAGAATATGTTAATATATACACATAAAATGTGCAATGTTTTATTCACTTGTTCTATTATATTTGGAAAATGTTGAATTTTACACCAAATTAAACTGGTGATTACAAATACTGTTTAACCAAATAACTGAATAATATATTAATCTGAATAAACCCTTTTTACGGAAGTTAATTACAAGATCAACATATTACTAGATCTTGTAATTAAATAACTGATTCACACAATTGTTAGTTATGCTTTTCACTACAGTTCTCTTATGCTGCAGTCTCTGTGTTTACTGGGATCAATAGCAATTCTTGGGAGAGGCACTAACTTGACAGATCACTGCCAGAATTCATTTATTTCATTGATTACCAATGACTTGCACACTACACTTCCATAATGCTTCTTTGTTTTCTTTCTTTTCCTGTCTTATCAAATATTTTTCTAGGATTTGTTTGTGCCATAGCAAGCAAGCAGAAATATTACAATTTTCATTTAAGTCTATGAAAAATCACATATTTTTCAAATGGTTAAAAAAACAACTGTATACATTTCCTAAAAAGCAAATATTTTTTCTGAACACTTTTCAAAATTAATTTTTTTTACTTATATTCATTTAAAAATTCATAAATTAGATCTAATTAACATTCTTTTTTATTACTGATTTTTAGATACAAATAATATTAAATAATCATTAAGTGTACTTACATTGCTACTGCTACTATTCTTACTATCATGCATCAGTAGCAACAAAAACAATAACAATATTAATAAGAACAATAATAATAATAATTTTATGCACACAATACAAATGTTAACATGGTTAAATTATTTTCTTCAATTTTCCACCAGTCCAGTGCTTATTTAGTACACTGCATTTAATATTTTTCAAATAATTTTCTTTGCTAGAATTATTTTATTCCACTTTATTAGATTTAAATAACAGTTCCCAGTGGAATGTTTATTTGAACTGGCATGGTTATTTTATGAATTGAAAATTTTCTACAAGCATGGCTATACCAGATAGCACTTGTATTTAGCATAGAATAGTACAAGTTAACTATTCATCTGTAGTGGACATTTCTTATGCAGTTAAGTACACTCAAAATCAAAAGGAACTATGTTAGATTTTTCAAAAGTAAACAAATAACCAAAGTCAGTCCCAATATAAAAAATAATTGTTTTATTATCTCAAAAATATTAAGATTTTATTACTTCTCTTAGAATCATTAACACTGTAAGTACTATTACTACCCACTATTATTTTTTTGCTACTACTACCACTAACCCTTACCATCAATTTTGTACCACTCTAGAATAGATGCAAAAATGATTTCTTGTTTTTTTAATGTAACCAAATTTTTTGTATGCTTGAAAAATTGTGCATCATCATAACTTTGTTTTATCACTGACATACCACAGTGAGACATAGAAAGATACAGAGAGGGCAGTATTGTAGGATTTCCTTATAGTTGTATAACTCAGTAAACTTAAATCCTATTAAAGTATTGATTTTATACTCCAAAACAAATAACTGTTTTTTCCACCACAGTGGCCAGTATGTTATTACTATAAAAATATTATCACCTTAACTATAATAGCTACCATAAAAATATCCCTAGTATTTACTATCCAACAACAATTACTATTACTGTTTTATCTACTATCAGCTAGATTACTTACCTTGTTAATATTTTAGTAATACAAAACAGTGCCTTATTCAGCAGCAAAAAATACAGTCAGTAATCATCTTTCTTTTTTTCATTTACTAATAGTTCATCCAATACAAGGCCCAAGAGCCACTCAAGCTAGAGGGTTAATGGAATTGTAAGAGATGGGAAAATAAGAATATTATGAGAATGAATAGAACAGATATCGGTTGACCCTGGATTTTAAGAGACCAAGATAGTCTCTTCAAACTTGCTTTTTATCAAAGGGACATGAAGGAATGGGAGATGGTTTTCCACCATGAACACGACATGGCATTTCTTAGCTGTCTGAGCTGGTTTGTTGATAAAGCAATGAGTTATATATTTGAACTTATTATTGGTCAAAAAATGAAAGCAAATGATGCTTTGAATTAAACTGAGATTTTAAATGAAAATTTTTTAAATGCTTCCTTAAATGGTTATCATTATGAAAGCATGCATATGTACAGAGAGTGCAATGGGTAAATTGTCACTATTTTATATTTTTAATTTTGTGTATGCACGTTGTTTGTTTTTGATTTTGTCAACTATAGTAGGATGAGTTGAGAACCATCTGTGAAAAAAAGGGGCAGCATAATGAAATTCACTCCACTAGAAATTTAGAAACGACATTCTGTACTGCTTAGCATTCACACTGGAAGCTCCAATACAAACATTTCAGAGTGTTTGGATGTCAATCTGAGGACAGTGTAGAGTGTTCAGAAAGTGTTAAATGAGTCTAATGGTGATTACAAAGATACAGCGACTCAGAAAATTCTGATAAGAAAAGAACTTGTTGGTGAAGGCCTCAGACTCAATACAGAGGCCTACATCAAGTGCCTTGAAGAGGTAGTGCTGCCTTGGGTCAAGAGGGTGGCTGCTGGAAGACTCTGTCTTGCAACAGGATACTGCATCATGCTGCACAAATAGAAGAACCCAGTCATGACTGTCAGACAATTTCTGTAACCACATCACCCCTTACATCTGGCCACCTAACTCCCCAAACTGCAACTCCCTTGATTATTATGTGTGGGATGCAGTTGAGCGAGAGAACAACAAAACTCCTTGTAAACTAAAGATAAACTGAAGGCTAAAATTATGGCTATTCACCAACTTAAGGAAGGCAACTGTCCAGGAGAGTTGCCGGATATTCCGAAGTCATATGGAGACTGTGGTTGAAACCAATGATGATTTTATTGAACAAGTTTACTCTTTAGTATTTAAAGATATTTTTATGTAATTTCGGTAAATATATCTGTTAAAATGATATGTTAGTGTTATTTTCATTTTTGCATAATTTAGACGACAATTTATTCATTGCACCCTGTACCTACATTCAAAAGGGGTTGCTGAACAGTCCTCAGCCTGTACAAGAAGCCTTTCTAAAAAATAAAAAAAAAAATTGTTATTTGGTCAGATTTTAGGAAGTGGGTTATAGCATGAAATGTTCAGCTTCTGCTTGTATATAATTATATACACTATAAGACTAAAACATAAAAACATATGCATATTGTATATACATTTGCGCATATATGCCTAAATATATATATATATATATATATAAGTAATATATGAATAAAATATAATTATGTTGCTCTGAGCATTGAATTAGATTAATTGATTTGTTTTTTATGGCTTATCAACCTTTTGCAGGTTTATTTAAAATCAGAAAAATTTTTTTTTTGAGATAATGATAATTTATGATAAAAGTCCTACTAATTCAATATAGCTGAGGTAGATTCATACCTTTCCCAAGCATATTTGCACCTAATTGAATATAACAAACTCAACTGGAATTGGAACTCAGCTCACTAACCTCAAATTCTGAGATGTTATCCATTACACCACTTGCACATCCAAGCTTTCAGC